GCGTCAGCAATACAGGTTTTAAGCTGCAATCTCAGTGCGCAAACCAAGTTGCTTGTGGACGCTTCGTTGCGCCGTTTCAGTTTTTGTTTTACTTTTTTAAGTCTTCGTCCCCAAGCGTACTATCTCTTTGGTTATCCAGGGGTTAGTGTTCCGTATTATTTACGCTTACGTGGTAAAAATTCGTCAATGCACTTTGTCACAAGGTTTTTGAAAAAGTTCCACAGGTGATTAACCGAGTGCTTATCCGACTCGTAGAGGGATAACAAAGTGTGCGAAAGAGCTGTCTAGTACGTCAAGTACGTCACATCACTTGCACGTGCAAACACAGGAACAAAAGTTTCTCGCTTTGTCACCTTGTGGATACAGCTTAATTGCATATCCAGCATACAATTTTGTGGTCCGATATACCCTCTAAGATTCGGATAGTTGGATTTCGCTGTAATACCCTGTGTTGACCAAGAATAGATCCAAGACTGATTGTTTGGTACCTTGGACTCGAGTAGGTGCATGAACAAGTTGTGTTAAATCATGAAACAACACAAGATCAAGAATATGTTCAGCCTCATTTGAAAGCGCATAGGGAAAGTCATTGTCCCAGGCAACGTGGGGAACGTTAAAGTCTCCAACAAGCATTAGATTACTGGAGTGATTTCTATAAGGCAATAAAAAGTTATTAAGCCTTTCGTAGAAAGATATGTCTGACTAGGGGCCTATAGAAACCGCCAATTATCAATGCACATTCTTTCAAGATAACCTTCACGACAAACACATTCGATTCCTATGATGTCGGGCAGTCTCAACAACTCCAGCGAGTCCTTGAATATAATCGCAACTCCGCCACCACGCGTATCTCTATCGTTTCGAAGGATGCAGTAACCCGAGGGTGTAATTTCGTAATCACCAATGTCGCTGTTAAGCCATGTTTCTGTGATTACTATAATTTCTGGATTGTGCGCGATGACTATGCTTTCCAAATCGGTTGTTTTATTTACGATGCTGCGAGCATTAATGTTTAGGCAAGTAAAACTTTCTGTGTGACTGTGTGGTCACGCATCTTTTTGCCTTGCCCTAGATCGGCGTTTTGAAACTGATACTCTAGTCATTTGTTCGTCGTCCCATTCAAATAGCTCATCATCAATTCTAATTTTATCGTGCACGAGTCTGACTTTCCTTCCCGATTTGCGTAGGTCAGCCGTGCTATCCCAGAGCTGTTTTCTTATTTGCCTAGTGGCAGCAGCTTTATTTATTGTGATTTTTTTATAACCCCTTCATCTATTCGATGCTTTTTGGGGCCAATGGGGTACAATACATAAATAAATTGCTAAATAAATCTATAAATATATTCCGGATCAAAATTATAGAAATACTTATGAGAATTTGTTCGTAACACATGTAATATCTGTGAATATAGCATACATTGTGTGAATGTGGCTTATATAGGTGGCTATCATAGTTGTGGTTAACCTGTAGAAAAATACCTGGAATGCATAAATACCTAGTGTGCTTCTTAAAATAGCAGTGACTGAATAGGGGCACAAAGGTACTTCACATGAGCGAAGCTTGTGCAGTAAAAAAAAAAAGACGGACACATCCTGGAAAGTGCAGTTGTTCTCAGTTGGTCCTATTTGGTGTGACTCATTATGCAAAGGCTCTTTGCTGAAGTTTTTTTTACCCAGTTTGCATGACAACACAGCTGGATGATCTCCACTTGTGATAGATTTTTATGCATGAAATGTGTTCTAAATTGCAGGTAATAAATGTTTAAATTCAATGTTCCCAATTAGTGCCTGTGCATGTGATGACCACACTATCACTGTACCTGACTGAGAAAAAAATGCAAAAATTTTTGCATACCGATCTTTCACATTCTTATAGTTCCGAGTTATTAGCAATCATGGTTACAACGGCAGCTACAGAAGCGATGAGAGAAAGGGCAGCAGTGAAGAACAAGATGCTTCAAATTTCAGATTGCCAGGAACTAGAAGTTCAATGAAGTGGAAGAGGAAAACGTTAAAATTTTATAATAATTTAGAATCTCAAAATATGCCTTGTTCAGTGGGTACAACTAATTGCTTTTGGTACCTTGACTGTACTTGACCAGAATGTTCTAGTGACAGACAGATAGGTGGGTGAAAGTGCACCTGCTTGATGTAATTGCAAAGTGCAACAAGTTCATGGCCATGGTTGGCCATGAACTTGTCCAATTGGCCAATTTGCGCATTATTACCACAATTCATTACACAGATCAAAGTGGACTGTTTGCATACATTCGCAAAGATTTTGGGTATGGCATATTGTTGTGGCAGGATGAAAGGAAGTGTGCAGTGATCTCAAAAACTCAGACATGACCTGGACATGGCGAAGTGAGCAAAACAGCAATGCTGACCATGTCTGTTCCCTTTGCTATTTAGGCAATCCTGCTTGGTAGCGCTTTCTTCGTGTTCATCTGTCATCAGAAGTCCATATTTCTGCCCTTGCCTGCCTCGTCATCGACTACCGCACCACCGCGCATGCCTGAACCCAGGCACGTGCTGTATAGTCTCCTGCCCGTCGACTGCTCCATGGCGCTCCTGCCTGTGACGTCAGCCTCAGCGCGGGCTATAAAGCCTGGCCTACAACGCTTTCACTTCAGTGGGCATGGCGAAGTGAGCAAAACAGCAATGCTGACCATGTCTGCTCCCTTTGCTATCCAGGTTAGTAGCAAACACAGCTGCGTACATTCTATTAATAGGCTTTCGATTGTTGGGCCATGCCCACATAAGTGCATCTGTATTGTGTATGATTGTTTCCATGCTTGCAAACATGCTTTGTGGAGATGTAGAGCTGAATCCCAGTCCTCAAATAGAAAAGATGCTTACTGAAATCCTGGCGCAGCAAGGTGAAATTTTGAAAAGCGTAATCGATTTGAACAGCAAACAGGCTGTCCAGAAATCCTCTCTTGCGGTTATGGCCAAAAAAATTTCTCTGTTAGAAAAAATGGTCACCAAAACAAAAGACACAACAAGCAAGATCGATCTGTTCGATTCAAGCTTTCAAGAAATAAGGACTTCCGTAGTAGGAACATCAGAAAAGATCATTGATATAGAAGACCGCAGCCGCCGTTCAAACTTAGTCATAAACGGTGTTGTAGAAAAGGTGAATGAAACGAAAGTTCACCTAAAAAATGAGGTCGTAAAGGAACTATTTGGCAAAAAGCTTGGCGTTGAGTGCAAGCCGATTGGACGTATACACAGACTTGGAAGGAAAACTGGAAATCGTCCCATAATTCTGTACCTACAAGATTACAACGAAAAGCAAGAAGTACTAATGAATGCCAAGAAGCTCAAAGGCACCGAAATTTTTATCCACAAGGATTACTCCTGCTGCACGCTCTGCAGGCGTAAACTGCTGTGGGACAGTGCTAAAAACTATAAGGCTAACGGCCAAGAAACCCTATCTTTTGCATGATAAACTCCGTATCGATGACGACACGTTCATGTGGGATGACGGCAGCAATCGCTGAGTAAAAGATCCAATCATTACCCGTCCAAGTTTATTACCGGCACTTAAGCCCCCGGAAAACGCCTGACAAATCCCGCCTCCACATAATCAAACCTTGTGTCTTGTTAATATCAACGCACGAAGCATTATCAACAATGTTGCTGAACTAGAGAGCACATTGTTAGCATACTCTCCTCACATCACGGTCTTGACTAAAACTTGGCTGCACGAAGGTGTCAGTGATGCTGAAATTGTTCCTTGCAACTTTAAAGTGTATAGAAGGGACAGACCATCGCGTTGCGGAGGTGTTGCCGTTATTTTGAGCTGTCATGTGATGGTTACGCCTTTGAAACAAATAGATGGCCATGAAAGCTTATGTTTGAAACTAAACGTGTTTGGAAATTCTAATATTTTAGTAGCGGCCTACCGCTCTCCGACTTCAGATGATGATTTCTTGTCTAAAATTTATGATTTCCGTGTTGAATATTCTGGAAGCCACCTAATATTAACAGGGCATTTTAATTTACCCAATAATAATTGGTCCAAACTATGTTCTTCATCCTTAAGTGACCACGATGTTTTTTATTTAATGCTGGCATGCGATCTCGAACAAGCTGTGAATGTGCCGACAAGGGTGCAGGATGATACATCGTCTATATTAGATCTTGTTTCATGACAAATTCTTTTCTGACGTACATGTATCTGTTTATTATGGTCTGTCTGATCACACTCGGTCTTGGTAATCGATCTGACAATATGCACGAGAAACAGAAAGTGTTCAAACATTTTTTAGAGCCCATGATGAGACAGTTCTAGATTATCTTGATGTAGCCTTTGATCGCTTTCCTGGTGATGATGTAAACTATCTGTGGAATACCTTCCGATCACTTTGTAGCTTTTGCCTTGACAATTTTATTCCTAACAAAACTAAAAACCAACATCCCAAAAATCCATGGATAACTAGAGAAATAATTCAAATTGCATGGAAAGTAAAGCGTATGAGAAAGCATAACTCAAAAGAATTGCCAATTCAGAAATTAAAAAGAATGCTTTCAGAAAGAATACGGTCTAGCAAACACGTATTTTATTCTGTTAAATTACCCCAATTCCTTAAGAGTGATCCAGCCAAGTTTTGGCGCCGCATAAAACTTAAGTAACAGAAAACTACAGATTGCATTGTGCTTGGGGATCAAATTATTCAAGGTAAGAAACAAATGGCCACAGAATTTAACCGTTACTTTCGCTCTGTTTTTTCCAATCCATGCTCATTTAATAGTGCCATTGGCAGTAATTCAGTAGAATTTGATCCTGACTTCATAACGTTTGAAGGTATCTTTTCATGCTTCTGAACCTTAAAACAAAATCTTGTGGTCCAGACAACCTGCTAAATAATTTTTTACGTCGTTACGTTGTATCACTTCCTGCTTCCTTGTAGTAATCTTTCATTTATTATTATCTGAAGGCATTGTTCTTTTAGACTTGCGCATCGCTCGAATAATTCCGGTACTTAAAAAAGGAAATAACACTTTTTTGTCTAACTACAGACCAATATCTCTTACTAGCACTTGTTGTAAACTTCTAGAGCACATAGTTTCTAACTATATGATTAATTTTCTAAACGAGAGCAATGTACTATCACCATTCCAGTACGGTTTCCATAAAGGTCTATCGACGACAACCCAATTAGTTTCCTGTATACATTCTTTCTCCTCAGTCCTAGGTAAATCCGGACAAACTGACATCATCTTTTTTGACTTCAGCAAGGCATTTGATAAAATGCCTCACTCCAAATTAATTCACAAACTTAACTTGTTTGGTGTTCCCGCGACCATTGTTAAACGGATAACATCGTATCTGTCTTCTCGCACACAGTTTGTTGATATAAACGGTACCTACTTCAATCCTCTTCCCGTTAACTCCGGAGTTGGTAGCGTCCTGGGACCACTGCTATTTTTAATCTATACCAATGATATTACATCCTGTGCTAAATATGGTGTTTAAATGCGGCTGTTTGCCGATGATTGCCTTCTGTTTAGTTCAGTTAAATCCACAGATGACCAAGTGTTATTGAACCAAAGTGTTGATGCACTTAATACCTGGTGTGAGTGCTGGGACATGTACATAAATTCAGAGAAAACTGTATCTATGCACATTACTAACAGAAAACAACCCCTAATTTACTCGTACAGTATTAAAGGAACTCCAATTTCACTTACACAAGGTTATAAATGTCTTGGCATCACAAGCACCAACAACTTAACTTGGTCCTGCCACATTGAAAATATTTGCTCTTCTGCCAGTAGAAAATGATGGTTACCAAGGCACACCCTCAAAAGCTTTCCCCCTAAAACTAAACTGCTTGCTTTTAACACAATAGTCCGACCTTGTTTAGAGTACGCATCTGAAGTCTGGGATCCGCGCACTAAAAAAGATATTAATCATCTTGAGAAAGTCTAAAGATTAGCTGTTCGTTTATTTCAATCCGCTTCCCCGGTCTGACTCCCCGACAGAACTAATAATTTAACAATATTTCCAAGTTGAGAATCCCAAAGGACAACTAGCTAGACTTAAATTCTTTTTCATCTATCTAAGAAAAACACTATCATATGAACTTTCGCACGTCCTCACTTCGTTATCTTTACGTCCTATTAGAGGATATCATTCTTACAAATCCACACCTGCCTTTGCGCGCACTAGCAACTTCAAGTACTTTTTTTCCCTTGCATAATAACAGGCTTGAACGAGCTGCCACACCATATTTTTGAGTCTGCAATTGTACTAAAATCTCTAGAAAATTACTTTGAAGTGTGAGTTTTGTAACCCGCGAGTATATTGTACACCTGTCTGATTTAATTTTTCTGTCGTTGTTGCTGCTTTCTTTGTTTTTTCTTCTTTCTCTACACCTGTACATCTATTAATTGGTCATATCATCATTGTACCACTTCCCCCTCCTGCTTGGGCCATTTTTTATGGCCTGTAGTACTTTATAAATAAAAAAATAAATAACTCATATTAGGAACTGAACGCTGCGACATCCTTACCACTAGGAAGTGAAGAAAAAAACAAAAGGCAAGAAAGGCCAGCTGGGTTACGGAGGCACACAATCAGTTTTGTTACCCCCCAAACAGTGTTAGATATGACTTCCCAAGAAAGTTCCCTGAACACCCATAGCTTGGACAAAGTAAGAAATGCTGAAAACAGTGAGTGATGACAAATTTGGAATGAATTCCTGAAAAGGGGTGATGAAAAGGCCCCCCGCCATCCCTACTTGCTTCATTAAAGGGCTCATAACCCTAACAGTAAATGAAATTTACCCAGTAAGTTCTATCGTATGGGTGACTGGAAGACTTGCATCAAGCAACTAGCATAGTACTTTTTTATACTGCAATTACCACTAAAATTGCACTGGCGACATGTAAAGTTCAAGTGCCTGCCGTCTTCTCTCTCTCCGAAATACAGCACAAACTATGCCTTTGGCCCATTAATTGACAGAGATATAACAAGTGCCTGCCGTCTTCTTTCTCTCCGAAATACAATACAAACTATGCCTTTGGCCCATTAATTGACAGAGATATATTAACATTTTTTCCAGAATGCAGCAGAATGTCGCAGGTATCATCTTGGCACAGTTTCTAGCAATTGGTTCTGGTATCGCATCTCTGGTGCTTGTGAAAATTCTTTGCGCATGATAGTGTGTTTCCTCTTTCAATACTTGGTATTCGTGTTCTTGGTATTTGTCAACAATAGTCTGAGTTGTGACGAGAAGCCAAGAAAGACTCGTTAGGATGAGCTTTCAATTAGTTACAACTGGGCAACCTGTAGGCAACTGGTTCCAGCTGAGCATTATTTCATAATATAGTTCAACTAGTTCTACCTAGAACCATCTAGAACCAGTTACAGTTTTTCCACCACGGCGTTTTTTTTTATATCTTGACAGTAAAATCTTTTATAGCATTATCAATCAGTCTGTAATGAGAAAAAAAAAAGCGAGACAGGTAATTCAGGGTTACTGGTATTGCCAGTGGAATAAAATGGCCTGGCCAGTTAACCTAATGTGTTAAACCATTCGGATTATGTCTCTTCTATGAATCGTGTACAGAACCACTAAAAAAATAATACAGTTGTTTAGACCAAGTTCATTAACAGCTACAGAAAATCAAATGAGCCTTTCTTTTATCACAGGATCCATCCGGGTAACTTGAACCTGAGGAAG